GCCTAATACTCGTGTTGAAGGCTTACGTATAAAGTAGTCCTCAAGGAATGATAAAATGTTTGCTAACAAAAGAGTGAATGTGGTGCTTGATGAGATGAATTTCTTACTTTGAAAGCAACAAGTATTACTGACCATTTGCAGTCATTGGCTGGAAAGTATTCTGACGGGAGTAATACAACCTCTTCCTGCAGAAGTCGTTGATGATAGTAGGAAGATTGGTCATCTGGTTGGTCTTTGTTGGCATAGGTTTGATCAGACATTTTTTGGGATTACTGAGGATGATGACCAGTCGTGGTTCAAAGAAGAAACTGCTAGTGTTCATTGTAGTTCTTATGATTCCTTTGGGTGTGCGTGTTGCTCTACCAACTTACATAGATCGTCTTCATGTATGAGTTCGTCTCAAGCGCACATGTTGTCTACTTCTAATCGCGGTCACTAGGATTGATCACAACGGATCACATTGAGCATGATCACTCTTGAAAGCTAATGGTATGGTAAATTGTTAGATTTTTTTGAAAGGTTTGTTTATATATAGTTTTTGGGAGTTCAATTTTATTGCTACCATTGGAAACAAATTTTGTTCATACTGGTTTCTTGTGGATGTGTTGCACGGTGTTGCATTGCTGGTTATTTTGGATTGTGCATCATCATGATTTATTTATTCTATCTCAAAGTTTCATGGGACTTGAAAGCTTTAAAACCAAGTGTCCATGAGAAAAAATGTCAAGGAACCTTGTATAAGAGGATGAAGAAGAAATAAATGAAGGTGAATAAGAAGAACGAAATGAAGCATCACACTTTCGATTCAAGTTGAACTAAATGAGGTATATCACTTTCGATTCTCGTATAAAGTAGAATGGAAGAAAGTATCACACTTTTGATTCAAGTCGAACGGAAGTAAGCATTGCACTGTCGATTCAAGTGTTCATATTTACGTCAAGAAGGCCGAAGAAGTAGGGTGAATGTTAGACAGTTAAGTAGTTTGATGTTAGCTGGCAATTAGTTAAGAATTTGTTAGATTTGTTAGGTTGTTAATATTAGGTTATAAATACCAGTCATTGTAATGTGCTGAATATCATTGTAAGTCATTTTCTACAATTAGTAAAAACCTAATACTGTAACATCCTCAATAACGGGTTAGTGATTAAAGTGTAAGATTTTAAAATTCAATGACCAGATTAAATAAATTGAAAAGTGAATGAATTAATTAAAAGATGTTGGTGTAGGATGAATTAATAAGTGAATGATAAGTAAAAGGGTAAAAGGGTCATTGAACAAACAAAATAATAAAATAATAATTAGTGGGTATTATAATACCCATGTGAATCATAATTGAGGAGATAAGTTTCCAGCTTATCTTCTTCAATTTCTTATCTTTTTCCAACCGTGAAGCCTCATAGCCAAGGTGAGTTTGATTTCTTTTGGTTAATCCTTCAAATTCAAACATGGTTTTGATTCATGAAGCTTTAGGGAAGATGATGGAGATGAAAAATGTTATAAAAACTCAAAGATTTGTAAGTTATGAAGGGTTAAAGATAGGAAATGGATAAATGAAATTATGAATAAGGATGTATAAATGGATTTAGAAGTTGAATTTGACTTGCCATATGTGTGAATAATAAGTTATAAGTGTTAGAAATAAGTTTGGATTACATGGAAAATTTAGTATGATTCTTAGCCTTAAGAATTTGGATGAAATAAAGGAGATTATATGAACAAATAGTATTGATATGGCACATAAGATTTCATGTCTATGGTTTATTGTAATAGAGGGAAATAAGTCCAATGATAGTAAAGTGTGTGAATATAGTATATGTGTTATGCAATATGTGACAATAAGATATGAAGTATAGGAAAGGATTATATGAGTTATATGAAAAACATTATTCAAATTTATATGATTTCATGATCACAAAAGATAAATTATATGCTGAGAATGATATAATAAGAAGCTATGTGATAAAAAGATATAGGTTTATGTGATATAAAAGTGCTTATGCGAAATGACATGATAGGTGATAAAAATGTAAGCCTATATGGATATGTGATAGGAATGGTAATATGTGAAATGATATGCAAGAGAATGCTATGTTATGTGATACGAGAGCTATAAGAATAGTTGGCATGCCAAGAGTCGATGTTACCGATGTCCTTTGGTACATATGGATAGATTTTACCTATGTCTTTCAGGACATATGGACAATATTACCTATGTCTTTCGGGATATATGGACAATATCACCTATGTCTTTCGGGACATATGGACAGAATTACCTACGTCTTTCGGGACATATGGACAGTTACCTATGTTCTTAGGAACATATGGATAGGTCTTTCGGGACACAGATTTCATATGTCACTTAGTGGATTTTATATGAGATGTGGTGACAACATAAGTGTACACAGCCTCATCGTATTCGTATACTTGAGTTCTCAATAGTGTGCATGGGATTATAAAAAATGTAAAGAGTGTGTACAGGTTTGCATGATAAAATATTCTTATTGTTTATACTGATTTTTATATGACAGTACGAATTTATAATGTAATATGTATAATTGTTATTAGATACTTGATTAAATGTTTATAATTATAGAAAATTTTTATTATATGTTTATGCCTCACTAAGTCTATGACTTAACATGTAAGTGATTTACACGTAGGTACCAAGAACAAAGAATAGTAGAAATAGGAGTGATAGAACAACAACACTGCTAGAAGATTAGATCAGAAGTAACTGATAAAGTATGTATTTTGATTGTGTATAGTATGTTGGCATGTAAGAAATGTTTTAGTACGAACGCTCTGATCGACTTTTCTAATGTTTTCAACATATATATGTAAATGGTAATTTGTATAACGATGAAAGGTTAAATTTTAAGAGTTTATGTATGTTTTACGGAAGTACTGTAACAGTGGAATCGGTTCCCTGTTAGTAATCTGGAAAATTTTTGCATTTGGTATTGTAGTAGGGTAGTTCACGGCACTGTTCACGATACTGTTCATTACTGTTAATGGAACTGTTCATACCGTATTTTACTTTTCATACCGTATTTTATTGTTTATAAAATGTATATTTTCTTAAATTAGTTATAACGAACATAATTCAATAGTATATTATCGTATTTTATTAATATGTTTTGTTAGTTTGTAAGAAATGTGTTTTAAAAAGTCAATGTGATATCTCGAACTCGTATCCGGTCAGGTACGGGTTGAGGGTGTTACAAATACTCTCCGTTTGTTTTCCATCATCTATTTCCTTTCTCCTTTTCATTTCATATTGCGGTTGAACAATGCCCGACCTTTGTGTCGAAGCATCAACATTTCATCACTATTCTCATCAACCCATATAATAATAAAACACAGCATACTACTAAAAGAAGTTGAATTCAAAAATAATATATAACATTGTTAGAAAACGATCATAAAATTTAAATATAATTAGTTAAATAGATTAATTGAATTTTTTTTCTCAACAATTTTGGGATGGACGGTTGAGATGAGACAAATCTCAAACTCGTACAAAGTAGATAATATCATGCATTATTATATAATGGATATGGTTTACCAGATCTAATTTGATTAATTAATAAGTATGCTTTGAATTGATTAAGGTTAATTTTGATTATTAAAAAATGAAAATAAGAAAGTGAAGGATCAATTTAGAAATTTGTCTTTTCTATTGCCAATAAATAATTATATTTGTCATTATCAACAATTTTTTAAATTTTGTCCTTTTTTTCCCAAGAACTTTCTATACTTGATTTATTGCATTTGGGTTTTCGCACGAAATATCTTGACAAAGTGCCAAAAAAGGGATTTGGATATTTTATTATATAAAATACAAATAAAACAAAAGTGTAATTTCTATATCAAATTTTTGAGAGAATTTAAAAATACAAAGAGAATTATACTATAATTTGTAAATACGTAATTTTTATTTTTTTTCAAAAAATAAAAAAAAATTGACATCATAGAGCATAATAGTATAATAAAGTAAAAATCAATGAAATGCCAGCAGTATTCATTTATGGTGTGAAATTGGAATTTCTGTGAAATTTAATTGCAACAGTTATTCATTTTTTTTTTTTTTTTCAGTATCTAAAGCCCCCACTAACCAAATGAGTGGTTTCCTTTGAATCTAGCATAATTTTTTTTATAAAATAAACACAAACTTTTTTTATAACCACTAACATCCGATCGATTGATTAATCTTGTTTAAGTGATATTAATGGTTAAAGGATGTATTATTTTCTTTAAAATTTTGAGTTCAAGTAGTTGTATCTATTAAATATATATGTTATCAGTGGCGGAAGATAAATGATGACCTCCCAAAATTTTGAAAATTTATAATTTAGTCCTTTAAAATATTTAAAATATTTAATTCAGTCCTCACAAAATTTTTAGATATTCATATTAATTTTTAAATTTTTTGATTATTCTTAATTAAATCCCTCTCTTAATTTTAAAAATTCTTATTAAGCCTCTAAAAATTTTAGTTATACCCTAACTTTTTAAAAATATATATATATAAACAAAACTTAAAAAATTTTGAAAATTTTAATTTAAACCTCTTAATTTAAAAAAAAAATTAATTTGACCCCCTAATTCTATCACTAATTTCCACCTCGTGTTTTATCGATGATTAAAATAAACTATGAACATATACTATTTTATAATTATCTCGTATTAAAACAAAATATATAAATATAAATAACATAGTTCAATGTGAAATGGAGTGCTTGGAAACATGGGTCCCCAACTAGCTTAGAAACCTTCATTTCACCAATTTTTTTAAACAATAAATTAATTTCAATTCTATTTTTGTTGTGTTCGAAGAGGCAGATATGGCTAAGAAAGCTACAAAAATCAAATTTTATAATTTGAAATTACCCAATCAAGGCTTCCTTCACAAGTGCCTTGCAGCCTACGGATCTTCAAGCTCTTCATCAAGCTCCTCTATTTAAGGTCCCTTTTATCCCTTTGTTCTACTTTCTTAACGGCCTTCATTTCCCTTTTATTTCTCATCATCTTCAACCTAAGCCTCACATAATTTGTTTAATTATATTCCCATCTTCAATGGAAGAAGCTAATGAACTCATCGATTTGCCTCCTGGGTTTCGGTTTCACCCCACAGATGAAGAGATCATAACTTGTTATCTTACGGAGAAGGTGATGAACAGTGATTTCACCGCATGCGCCATCGGCGAAGTTGATTTGAACAAGTGTGAACCTTGGGATTTACCCAGTAAGGTTTTTAACCTCTTCAAAAAGTAAACTTTTTTTCCTTTTTTACCTTTCTGTTTTTTGCAGAGAAAGCTAGGATGGGCGAAAAGCAATCGTACTTCTTTTGCCAGAGGGACAGGAAGTATCCGACAGGGATGAGAACAAACCGTGCAACCGAATCTGGTTATTGGAAAGCAACGGGAAAAGACAAGGAGATTTTCAAAGGGAAAGGATGTCTTGTTGGGATGAAGAAGACCCTTGTTTTTTACAAAGGGAGAGCTCCAAAAGGAGAGAAATCGAATTGGGTCATGCATGAATATAGACTTGAAGGCAAATTCTCTTATTATAATCTCCCAAGAGGAGCAAGGGTAAATGTATATTTTTACCTTTTTTTTTACTGTTTTGTTGGTTGAGGTGTTGCTTTTTATGTGTATCTTTCTTTTCTTTTGTGTAAATGAAGAATCTACGGTGTTCTGATACTATTTCTGTGTTTTTTTTTTGTCACAGGATGAATGGGCTGTTTGTAGGGTTTTTGATAAGAACACAGGGATCAAGAAAACTCCGATTCAAGATCATCATCAGCTGTTGAGAATCGGTTCTTTCGGCTATGATGATCTTATCGATTGCGCTTCGCTGCCGCCGCTCATGGAACCGGGCTGCTCGTCCGGTTTCATCGACGGCGATATTAAATTTAAGTCCGCCATAGCCTCAAACATCCCAACAATGACTGATCATCAGACCCTTGTTCAAGTTCCTGGAAATAATCATTATGCAAGCTCTAATAGTAATATTTTCACCACACAAATCCCAACCCAGAATCCAGTCTTCTTCCATCAACGAACCACCAATCCGGCCTACACCGACTTCGGCCGCAACGATCAGGCAACGTTATCGAAATCGAACTGGCAGTGCAAGGTGGACCAGTTCTCGTCGAACCAATCAGGGCTCCGCACTGAAATCAACAACAATGGGATTTCATCGGTTGTTTCGAGGAACAACATGGAGATCGGAATCAGCAAGTCTTTTGAAGATTTGCGTTGTTTATGGGACGAGTAGCTAAACATAAATATTTTCGTCGTCGTCGTCAAGTCGGGCATGTTAAACTTTCTAGGAAAATATGTTTTCTTTTCCCCCACTTAGGTAAATTATTTTATTAGTTTGGAAAACAAATTGGGGTATACATTTTGTATAGATATAGATTCATCGTGTTCAATTTTTTTTTTTTTGCACTTTTCATTACATCTAAGAAAGGTTTGTGTACATGAATTCTTTCTTATGCTACTGAATTTCTTCTCTTTTGCTAATTTTCTCATTGATTCCATGTTCCAATCAAATTTCCCACTAAAAACCAAACATACATTTAAGGTTGTTTAATTTATGTTGTTTTCAATTGTCTGTTAAATGAAAGATGCACCTTCTTTTTCATCTAATGTATAATCAATGTTTCAATTTATTAAATTAAGTAATTTCCTTTTTTTTATTCAAAACAGTTTCAGTAATTGTTTTATTTAGTTATATTCTTTTGTTAAATTGTAAAAAGGAATAATTAAACATTAGATTTCAAGAAAGGCACGATAGATATGAGGTCAAGTGGGATGTTTACTGAAATGTCAGTTTAACCACCTCCATCAAATAAACTGTATGAGTTTCACCTCGTTTAATTAATTGAAATTAAGTTAATTCAACTAAGAATAAAATACAAACGTACTATGTAGATGTAATAACTTGAATTTAAGATATTTAAGAAAAACAACATTCATTTTTATCGATAAAAATGTCTAGATAAGATATTGAGAAAAATTTAAGTGTATTGTAATGGTTTTTTTTTTCTTTCAACTAAGGATCTTTTTACAGTGATAGAAGAAGATTGTAGGACGACATGGCGTCCTTCTTAGAAGACGGTCGAATGACACGACGTCTTTCAATCTCCATGTATGTAGAAGACGGTTGTGTCGTCCTGCCGTCTTCCCCAAAAATACCATGTCATCCGTCAATCTTCTCCAATATACTGTAGAAAGATCCCTACGTGAAAAAATAAACTTTGGTTGCAATTATTTTAGGAATTTATTCTCCACTTCACTAATTGTTCACTAATTGATTTTGATTTTGTTTCTTTTTATCACTTGATGGGTTCACTCGAAATATTTTTATATGTATCGTTAATAATTCAAATGATATTATCTTGGTTTTAATTTATTTAATAACATATAATTATCAATTGATAGATGTTTTTATAAAATATGCATCATAAGTGTATCAAATATAAATTTTAATTGAAATTAACTGTATGAATTAGACAATATTTTGAGTCACATGAAATAATTAATTAATCACCTTAATCTCTGCACCTAATGTGCCTTCGCCCCCGGCAATAACAATCCCACAATGTTTCTTAAACAACAATGCTTAAACTTAATCTTCTGTCTGAAGTACAATCATAATTAATAATTAATTATTACATATGCCTCCCATAAAACCTTCAATTAATACACCCTTTCAATCAGTTTAGCTGTTTTATGACAACTTATCCCAAGTTGAATTTTTAATTCAATTACCGAAATAAAACAAAACAGTATATGTTCAAAATTCTTTTAGTTATTGATAATAAATATATCTTATAAATATAGTCATTTGAATATGGAATTTCTAAGAATAATAACATTGTATTCTAACATTGAGATTATTCGATGAGTTCATCATCGTATCTTTTAAATATAAAAACTTTCAAAACTTAGATAAACTTAAATTGAATACATATCACGTATCTAATAATCGTTTCAAATTCAGATGTTCACAATACCAAAAAAGAGATAACTACAATATTTAAAACATGTTTAATATATGTCAAAGTAATATTGTTGATACGATGAGATGTATTTTTTTTTTCTGAATGAAGTTGTTATAAAAAGGAGGGTTCGAGACGGAAATCTGTATCAGAAGGGGAGGAAAGAAAACATGGTGAGAGAAGAAGAATTAAAATCGATTATTGAAAGAGAAGAAAGGCTCATGTGATTATGTGGGGGAAGGGATATATACATTGAACCATTAACTTATTTTCTTTCTATTCAAGCCAAAGCTTTCGTCTACCCTTGGGATTCATACTTTCAGGAAAGTTTAACACACACCCGATTTTACTTTTTATGTATTTTTCACCAAGCAATCATTACTAATAATATCTTAAATATTTAATTTAAATTAATAATGATTTTTAATATTTTCGAGTCATTACAGTATAATATATGTTTGTTGGATTAAAAATTTATCATTCAAGATATATTTGTGCAATATTACCGTAAAATTAAGTGACTAATTATATTGTACAAGTCATAAAGTTTTAGAAAGTATCATGGAAGTAAAAGTGTAGATGCTACTATTAAAGTTTTAACGAGGGGTCGAGTTATAAATATATACAATAATTGATAATTAAATCAATTATATAAAGAGATAATGATCCCCAATAAATAAGTTAATTTGTATTTTTTTTCTTATTATGTTAGAGAATTTTCAAGGCTATCTCAAGGGTAATCTCCAACAATGGATTCAAGTATGCTTCTATAAATCTAGTATTTTTATTCTTAATGATTTGGTATGATAGATCCTAGTTAGTTTTTATATGTATTATGATTTGGTTCTAATGCTGTTCAGAATTTTTCTTAGTCAATGACAACACACACGTACCTTATAGACATAGCTGTTCGAGCTTAAAATCTTTAAAAACAATTATATTCTATTTTATCACTAAAATCGCTTGATAGTTCAATTTAATACCATTTTAAATATAAATATGAGATGAATATATGAATTATCGGATAAATTAGAAAAAGAAATTGAACAAGAAAAAGGAGAGTATTCCATTGACGAAGAAAAATGAGAAAAAGCCCTTATTTGTTGCATGAAAACATGGTGGTAGTAACCAATTGGCAGCCTCCACGCGTACTTTTATTTATTTATTTATTTATTCGTTGTCAGCTTTTGAAAGTGAATGCCTTTCTTTTATGAGTAAATTACAACTTGCATTTCTTAACTTTAATCTCTCTCTTATTTTGATCACTAAATTTTAATTTTTTACTAAACTTAATATATTAAGTTTTTTGTTAGGCTACCGTTATAGTTAACGATGTTAAAACAACGTTCTTTTTAAAAAATAAAATAAAATAAAAAATAAAATGCAATTATCAAATTTGTAAATTACCCTTCTTTTATATTTTGGTGACGATGATGTTATCCGCGTTGCGTTGCTCATTTCTTCTTTTTTTCACCACCTTGGCCGGCCACTGCTCGGTCACAGTGTCACACCGCCCTTCACTTGCTTTTATCTGTTTTTTTTTAATTTCTTTGATTTTAATTTAATTATTTAGGGATTTAATTAATTTAATTTTGATTTACTGAGATAGCATACATGATTAATGCTACACTTTTCCGTAAGAATAAATTATTTTTAAAATATTATAAGTAATATTATTAATCTTTAAAATGATTTTATTAAAGATAATATTTATAAATTTCAAACATAGGTTATATGAATTATAAAAATATTAATTTTAACTTTTAAGGAAAGTCCTCTTTAAACATAGAAGACTAGATTTATATCGGTAAAGATTTTAGTCTAAACTTCTAGATTTGATATGAATTTACTTTTCTTGCTTGTCTTCATTAAAGTAATTTTATTTTTTCATTATATTTATATAGTAATATATGCATCTAAAATGTTATAATTTATATATAAAATTCTTCTTTCTTTCCTCTTAAGCAAAAATTATTCAAATATATATATATATAGTATCCTGTTATAAAATATAAAATTCTTTTAGTTTTACACAGATTTAGAACTGTTGGGTGAGTTAAAATAGATGACTGAGTTTAACATTAGGAAATCAGAAGATTTTCACTAAAAAAAAAGTCATTATCAGTCATCTATTTTCGCTCATCAAACAATTCTAAATCTATGTAAAACTAAATAGTTTTATATTGTATAAGTAGATTCTAACATAACATTTGTAATATTTTTTTATTACATAGACATGTAATATTCAAAAGTATAAGTCTGTCATGGAAGTAAAAGACTTGGTAATTTCGTATAGGTAATTATTCTTCAACCTAATCTATGTTTACTAGTCATTTGACAGTAATTTATTGGGATCAAACTTATCAACCATATTAGTAAGGTGGATAGATTAATATAGAAAAAAAATCATAATTTATCATGTGTTTTCCTTGTAAAAGAAAAAAAAATCTTATTAACAAGAATTGAACGATCTTATGATTAAATAAGTGATTTTTATTTCTAGAAGTTTAAGTTTGAGCATCAATGACTGCGGAGTATTTGAGCATTTATTGTCAAATGGTTGAAAGTCTTTAGAACATATGCTACCACTTGTAATCACCCTAAATTAATGAAAAAAATATTCATAGAGATTCTAAATTCGAATACAAATTAATACAACGATTAAAATATGAAAATTTAAAATTAAATCTTGGAATTATTTTATTTTTCTTAAATATATTATATATATCACGCTCAATTAAGTTTTAAAATTTTAATAAAATATTTTTATTTTATCAAAACAAATGGTTTTTTTAATTTTTTAATTATTTGAATAAAAAAATTCCAGATGCTGCAGGTCCTCGAAAGGGGCTAATATTCCTAAGAACTGGAAATTGCTTCGATGTTTCATAGGAGAATAACTGATTTTCTAGAATATTTGAACAGTGGTTTCATACTTGGTATTGGTTCAGCATCGTAGATATTATCCAATGGCAAAACTTGGTGATAGAGTATAGGGGGTTAGCTTAAAATTTTTAAAAATTTAAAGGTTTAAATTAATATTATTAAAAAATCTGAATAGTTTAGTTTATATTTTCCCAAAAAAAAATTAGGGTCTAACTACAAATTTTTAATTTTTTGAGAGGATTAATGAGAATTTTTAAAAATTATGATAGAGAGTTTAATTAAGAACAATAAAAAACTTTAATTTTAATTTGAATTTCAAAAACTTTTGAGGATCAAATTGATTTTTTAAAAAAAATTAAGGATCAATTAGAATTTTTTAAATTTGGGGGCCATGACTCATTCTAGTATAACTTGTGTTTCGCCCCTAATATTATCGTATTTTTCTATATAATATTTAAAATTTTAAATATTATGTCTTTTCTAAATATTATAATAACAATTAA